CCAGTGAATTTGTTGGCCTTGAAGACCGTCTGCTTGTCCCAGTCGGTCCAGTAAACGTAGTCCTCGAAGGTGGTGATGGAGAAGGGATGCCGCAGATACTCCGTCGAGTAAAGGATCTGTCGGCGCTGCGAGCCATCGTAGTTGGCCGAGGAGATGATATTCAGCTTGCCATCCACCCAGTAGATGCGCTTCCTCACCAGATCCAAGGTGATGCCATTGGGCCACTTCACGTCATAGTTGATGATCGTCGTGCGATGGGAGCCATCCATGCCGGCGCGCTCGATGCGCGGCGAGGCGCCCCAGTCCGACCAGTACATCCAGCCCTCAATGGGATCGAGCGCTATCGAGCGAGGTATGTCGAGCGCATCCTCAATCAGAACCTTGCCCATGTTTCCATCAAAGTTGGTCAACTCGATGGTGCACTTGTGTGTGTCTGTGTAGTAGACATGGTTGTAGATCCAGTCGACGGCCAGGCCATCCGAGGTAACCGACGACTTCTTCAGCACGACGGTCTTCTCGTTGCCCTCGTCGATGGGCGCCTTGTAGATGCTCTGGGTCGTCACATCGCTCCAGAAGATCATGCCCGTGCGGAACACAAAGTCCAGGGCAGTCGCCGACTTGGTGTTGTTTACAATGGAGGTCATTTCCATATGGTCGAGTGCTATCTTGCGTATGTCATGACGGCGGGCCAGCAGAAGCGAGGCGTGGCCCTCGCTTGCCTTGCAGCGTGTGTGGTTGCGCGGGTCTCTCATGTAGCCCGCTTCGCACTCGCACTTGAAGCCGCCGATTTCGTTGACACAGATCTGGGAGCAGACGCCGGGCTGTTCGCATTCATTCACATCCACACAGCTGTGGCCGTCGCCTGACAGCTTGTAGCCCTCATGGCAATCGCACTTGTAGCCCACCTGGTGATCCACGCAGCGGTGCATGCAGCCGCCGTTCTTCACCGCGCACTCGTTCTGTCCACACTTCTTGGCCGGCTCGTCCTCGCCATCGGGGCAATCCTTGCGCTTGTCGCACACCTTCGAGAGGGGAATGCACTGGCCGCCGCCGCAGTCGAATTGGCTGGTGGCATTGCAGCTCTTGACTGGAGCTGCCAGCTTGCAGTCCCGCTCGTCGCTGCCATCCGCACAGTCCGTTTGCCCGTTGCAGGTGAGGTGTCCGGCTATGCAGCTGCGATCCCCGCACTGGAACTGATCCTGCCGGCAAGTCACGTTCTTGCAGCTAGAGGCGTGCTCATCGTCGCCATCGGGACAGTCGCGATCGCCGTCGCAGAGCCAGCTGTGGTGCAGGCAGGTGATGCGATCCTTGCACTGATACTCATGTGGCAAGCAGGGCGTCACTAGCTTTGTGGCATTCGCACACGACTGTGGCCAGGTAGACAAGGATAGAAAGAGTGGGAAAGAGAGAGAGAGAGAGAGAGGGAGAGAGAGAGAGGGTATCAAAAGTTTGCCTAGGTTGCTTGTTACAACTTTTTTGACTGAAAGTTTTCGTTGCATACTTTTAGTTGCTTACACACGAAATTATGTGCAGCACCCGCACCCGCCACCCGCCACCCGTCTCTCGCTCTTAGCCATGGCCAAAATGCAATTTTATGCGTACTATGCGTTGACAACAAAAGCTGCCAAAGCTGGCAGCGCTGAGTTATGCCCAACTTGGCTGTAATTTATATGCCAGGCGCTTTTCTTTTTGTCCCACTAACAAACTCACACACACACATACACGGAACAAGTAAGAGACCTGGAGGCGAGGGTGAGCTCGACGACGAGACATGCTGCAGTGAGCTAAATAAAACTCATGCCGACTCCTGGTTTCTTACCATGGCGGACTACTCCCATGCGGGGTTCCCCATACTCAGGCATATATATTAAATACATTTCTTAAGTCTGTTATTTTCCATCAATATACCCTGCATACTATAATGGGCAACAGGGTACGCCGAGTTGTCGTGGGCTGCTAACAGCTACTACAAACATTTCCACACAGAAAATTTGAATTTATGGGACAGGCGTTCAGCTGATGCTGACGCTGACGCTGCTGCTGCTGCTGCTGCGGTCAACTTACCCGCTCGTCGGATGCATCCGGACAATCCGGATCGCCGTCGCAGACCCAGCGCTTGGCAATGCAGGCGCCATTGGTGCAAGTGTGCTCCGCAACGCTGTCGCAGGGGACGACGGGGCAGTCGCGCTCATCGGTGCCGTCGCCGCAGTCGTTGTCGTGATCGCAGACCCAGCGTCTCTGGATGCAGCGACCATTGCCGCAGGTGAACTCGTCGGAGCGGCACGTCTGGTCTATGGAACGAGAGGCAGGACAAAGGATTAGCGACAGCAAAAAAAAAAAGGAAAACTGAACAATGGCGCAGGCCTCTCCAAAAGGGGAAGCGACATGAAGCCAAAAAGGAAATGAAGTAGGAAGCGGGCCGCTTGATGAATGATGTGGCCAGTGAGTTAGCAAAGGAACATAATGGGTATAATAGCACTGCGATAGACTGATAAAATGCAAATGGACTGTGTGGGATGTGGGTGTAGAAAGGAATTCAAAAATGTTGGCCTACAGAAGGAGAACTCAGAAAACGGGCGAGAAAATTAAGCAGAAATTATCAAAGTAATAAAACGTAAATAATAATGGGAAGAACAAGTTTGGCTAGCTCTTAGACTAATAATTTAAAACTAACATGAAATTATTATTATTAAGCATGAATTCATATTTTTAATTAATATCAAAAATCTAGACAAAGTTATAATATATGTAATAAATTCTATATCCATTATTTTAAGTAGCTCTGGTTAAAAATTCTATATTTAAATTCCTGCAGTTTCCTTATAAAGTCTCTCTTTGTTGATTATTAAAATATTTTTCTAGTTGTGGAACCCAAATTGGAAGGTGAATTAAACAAAGTCCCCAAGGTAAATCTGCATCACGGTTATTTAGGGTTAAAAGTCAATAACTAAAATTATTGCAGCGCTTTATTGGATTTCGAATGAAATTCATATTACTTGCCAAAGGTATTTTTAAAGAGGATTTAGTGAGAGTTTGCATCATAAATAAGTTAATGCGAAAAGCTTATATTAAAATTTATCTACCTAGCCGAATGCATAAGCTCATTAAATGCATATCAGACAATATAAGGTAAATTGAAAAAAATTAATATATCATAAAATCTTCAGTTTTTGATGTGCATATTAAGTATGTAAATCTAAATGGGAAATATATTTCCAATTTAATTCATAAATTAAATGTAATTTCACTATGCATTGCAGAAGAAAATGCCGTATAAAAATATATTCGAAAACATTTTAGGTATCTGAATAAAATAAAAAGCAAAAAAAAGTCATAGAAAGCTCTAAATATATAAAAATATATATGCACATATACAGTATATAATATTGTGAATTTTCCTTCATAAAATTTTCCTAAATTACAAATAATAAATCTAGTAAAAGTATGTGCAAAGTTTAGGATGATGGGCAATATTTTTTTTTAAATATATTATTCTTAACAGAAAAATTTGTTTTTTACATATTTTCTTCTATTTAAAATATAAAACTTTATTCATGCCAAGATTTCTACTTTTAACTTTCAACTACAACTCAAAAATGGTCTATATTGAATTGATCTGGGGATATGCTTACTGCAGTTATGCTCATCGGAGCCATCGCTGCAATCCTTGCTCTGATCGCACATCCAGGCGAGAGGAACGCACTCGCCCTCGCCGCTCTTGCAGCTGTATTCGTCCGGCGAGCAGGTGCGAGCCTCTACGAATTTGACAAAGTCAAGTGCATATAGAGTGAGAGCAAAAGAGAGGGAGAGAGAGAGAGAGAGAGAGACACAATGAAGAGTTGTTGAGCTACGAGTGTGTGCTCGTAACTTGCTGCTAATAAATGTGTTTGGCTTGTTCAGTTTGGGGCTTATTAAATACTTTTATACGCAGCAGCTGCCAAATAAGCTGAAAGAGCAGCTGAACCCCGTTTCATTTGTGGCCCGAATGCCATTATGTAATGCACACCCAAGGCCGGGAATGTTTGTGTGCGTTAGTTGGTGATGTGTGTGTTATGGGTTAAGCACTTTATGTGCTGTTGCCGGGCGTTGCCGACACGCAGTCAACGTGGCGTATGCGCGATATGTGTATATACGCATTGTTGCCAATGTGTGCAGGCGTGTGTGCGTGTTTGTGCGTGTCTGTGTGTGTTGTGTGTGTGTGTGAGGGTCATGTGCTTATGAATATACGCGAATGCAACGACTTGATTAAACGGTGGTTAGAGAACTGGCGGGAACTAGCTGCCAACATAGCTTTGAAATTATGCGCAACACTTTATTAAACGTTAGGCGAGAGCGAGTTATGAGAACAGTGGATGGGAGTGTTAGCCAGCTGTGGAGTTGTTTACGTAGTTTGGATTCGCTTACTGCATTGCGCCTCATCGGACTTGTCACGGCAGTCGTTGCTGCCGTCGCAGAGCCAATTGCGGGGAATACACTGGTCAACGGTCTTGCATTTGAACTCATTGTTGGGACAGGCATTCACTATATTCAGTTGTACATACATATATCGTAAATAGTGTGTAGTGTGTGTGAGAGGCATTTCATTCACTTACTGCACAGAGCGCTGTCCTCGTCGGAGCCATCGCTGCAGTCGTTCTCCTGATCGCAGCGCCATTTGTTGGGTATGCAGTTGCCGTTGGTACAGCGGAAGTGGTCCGAGGAACAGGTGGCCTCTGCAAAGGGAACGAAAACAGAAATTCAATTGAGTAAGCGGCAATTACAGGGTATTAGCGGTGTGCTCTGTGCTTGGCACTGCCTTTGAACTTTGAAGTTAACCCGGATCAAAAACAAAACCTGCCAGCAGCACAATTTGTTTTTCTCTGCTCAGTTGTGCTTAAAAGCAAAAGTCTGAGTGGCTCAGTGCGTGTGTGAGTGCGTGTGTGTGAGTGTTTGTATTTATTTACACGCACTTAAGCACGTGCTGAGCAAAGAAAATACTATACCACAAATAAACCAACAACTAAACGAGTATACATAAAAAAAAAAACAAATGCAAACATAAATAAATCGTTGCATTCGCGGCGGGCACTGAATTTACAATGGATTTTCAATGTCCATTTGGTAAGGGCTTGGCTGAGGGGACTGAGGGGGCTCTGTGGGTCATTCCATGTTGCCTTTGAAGCACTTGTTTTTCTATGTTTGTTATGCGCATTATACATTAGATTTAAGCTCATGTGTAAACAACTCGGAGGAATACAACGCAATTTCATGCATTTCTTTTGACGTTTTAAAGCTCAAATATCTCTCAGCAAGTTGAATTATTATTTATATAATATATTTTTAAAATAACCTGTCATTTTTTTTAAATAAAAATATCTGCTTACTTAAAAACTTTAATTTTGTGTTTTTTTGATGACTATCTTTGCTTGTTAGTCCCCGATTTAATAGACGTTTTAGCTACTGGAAACAGTTGTTACCTCAATTTTCATCTAGGCTGATGCAAACATGTGCTAGTTGCTATTTAACTGTCTGTACCCAAGGGAGAATATTCCATTAACTTTAATCAAATTGGAATGAGAATTACAATTGATAAGAAGCAAGAGGGAAGAAGGGCAGGCGCATTATGCGGCGCAGTCAGAAGTTGCCATATCAATAACATTTTATACGATTACTTTTTGAAACTTTTTATGGGCAGAAGAACTCTCCGGTCCGATGCCTTAGAGCTCTCGCTCCTCACTGGCTACGCAGTCAAATGAAATGTAGCGTGACAATAGAACTAAACAGAAAATAAGCAGAAAAGAAAAGAGCACAACAGCATCAGCAGCTATTCGAGAAAATAAAGGGCAGGACACAGGCAATGGAAGGAAACAAAATATAAACCAATGTGCGCCAATATTTGTTAAAAAATAAAAACCAAATATAAATAGAAGCTCACAAACCGTTGAGCAATAAAAAATGGTCACATGTGCAAACCAGCCAACACTTTCGGAATGCCCTCTGTACCATAGTACATAATGTTCTCAGAAGCCTTTCAGCTCTGGCATGAAATAAGTAACGCATATCGAATCTAGTATATTAAAGTATATACTATATATAGTAGTATATACTATACTGAATACTAGATTGTCAATTCTAATTCATGTTCGTTTAAGTTGAGTTATATTAGTATAGAATTTTTAAAGAAATTAATCTAACTGAAAGAAATGAAAAATAATTCCATTAGAGTTTATTTGTATATAAAACTAGCTCTATTTATATATGACATATTCTTTATATACATATATATTAATAGAATTATATATGATTTTTTTTTTTTAATTTACTAAAAAATTGACATAAATATTTTTAGATTTAACATGGAACTTTTAGTAATTCTTCGCTAACTATATTATGAATTTATCACATTTCAAGCTATTATTGCTTTTTATTTTTATACAATCTAGCTTAATCTGAGGAAAGAAAGCTATTGTAATATATTTTGTATTTTTTTTAAATTGAATATTTGTATTTATAGTTTCTATTAATCTGACTTGTATTTATTTGTTAGAGTATTTAGTCCAGGACAAACAAAAGCAATTTTTTCTTTGCTGGCTTTATGGCTCTATACATATATATTTTTTTTACATATACATATATATAAATATATATTTATTTTATTTTTGTATGTGTATTTCCCTTCATTCCTTTATTTATATTTTTATTTTTATTTTGTTGCATGCATGTATGCATGTATTTATGTACATACATATGTAGCGCATGTTTACGAATGCCCGCAGCTCCATTCAGCTCGATTCGATTTCTTTTTATGTAGCTTGTAAGCACAGATGAGTATTTGACATTTTGTTGTTGCCGTTGCTAATATGTGGGAATCACACAAATATACATACAATATATGTATGTGTAAACTGTGCCCCTGCGGACGCATTGCTGCGCATTTCCAAATTTATTTCATTTTCTTTTATTTGCGCACTGTGGACATATTAAATGTGATGTCACGTGGGATCACAATTAAAAATCAAATTAAATTTATTGTCCTTTCTCTAGAGCAAGGGAGTGGAGGGCACTTTGATTGGTTCAACGCATGTTGCAATGGATAAAAGTGTGCGGCAAATTGCCAGTTGGCTTTCAGCATAATTTCATCTTCTTTTTTCAACTCTACTTTTTTTTTTGCGCTTTAACTAAGTTTAAACGGCCTTTCAGTTGATTAAAAAACTTTGGCCTCTGGCAGCTGCACCACCACCACCAGCACCACCAACAGCAGCAGCAGCAGCAGCAGCAATTTGTATGCAAATGTCAGGCAGTGTGTGCAAAATATTCTGTTGCATGCAACGCGGCGCCCGGGGAGGTAGGGGGCAGATAGCAGCCAACTACAATGCAAATGGGCTTAGACTGCAGTCGGCTGTAGTTCTGTGTGTGTGTGTGTGCGGCATATAAGCACATTATGATTGGAATTTCGGGCGTGTGGCATTCAAGTTTAAAGGTGTTGCAAGCTGACGTAAGAACTGTTTGCAACTTGTTGCAAGTGGCTTTAATCAAGTGCACTTGCCCACAAGTAGCTGAGCGGCTTCAAAGTTGTACTTCACAGAAATTCGTACCTCGGTTCGGAGAATGCAGATGGCATTCCACTTTAAAAAGTCTTAAAAGTCTTGTAGAGTAAGGGAAGAATGCGTAAGTGAAAGAGTTTTTCATAAAACAATTCAAGCTGTCATCGAGTCTCTTATTTATATATAAATATTGTCTATTATGGGCAAGTCATCTAGCGATACGTATGCCAGCAGTAAGCAGGAGTAGCAGGAGTCACCAGTAATTTTTACCAATTATACATCAGTTGTTAATCCCATTATGAGTCCTATACATAATAAGGTCTATATATAAAATTCTTAAACATTTCAATTAGTCTCAGTTTAACTGAGGCTTAGTTCACTATAAAAAGTACGCATAGGTTGCCTCAAGTCTTAGAGTAACATTTTTAAATATTTCACTTATATATACAAAACGTTTATAAACAATTTTCATACCGTGCTCAGTAACCATTGCGCCCAGGCTGTGGCTTTGCGTGTGCAGCAAACTGGACACAAATAGCAAACACCAAATGTGCCCCATGTTGAGAGAAGTTCTTGTATTAAAAAAAAAAATAAACAGGTAAACAAGCAATTAATTTTGATTTGCATAGGGTGGACAACTTGTTCACTTGGGTCCTCGAAATGCTCGCGGTGTCAATTTGCCAGCAATTGTGCCACATTCGAGGGCAGTCAGTCGAGTTGCACAAATTGATTGCATAATTTCCGTGCCACATCATTTTCAAGTTCACGTTTAACAAAACAACTGTCAGAAGTCAGGGCAATGAATTTCACAGCGCCTAGATAAATGGCAATCGGGCCCAGTATTGGGGGAAATTGAGGAAAAACATTTAATGCGAGCCACAGCAAAGTGATAAATGATAAATGAAAACGCTCAAATCGGACAGAAAGTCTGCATTCTAAATAGCCTCGGCCCGCAAAACGGCACACAGATGGACATTGCCGATTAGTCTGACAGCGGCAAACGACTTTACACAGGACCTGCCCACAAAACGGACCCGAAAAAGCAAAAAAGAAAAAAAATGAAAAGATTGATAAAAAAAAAAGCAACCGAAAATAAGGAGCAGCAGTTCGCACACAGAAAATTTCTAACAAGCTTTTCGGTGCTTTGCCACTTTGTCGGAAAAACACTTTGCATAACTTCAAAGGATCTGGCAGGAGTGATTCAATTGTTTGCTAAAGCACCGCATTTCGAGGACATTTCAATGGGATTTATTTAAATATATTTTTCTGTTTATTCCTTTCGCGCACAATTTTGTTATTTTGCTTGCCATATTGCGCTTACTTTTTCGCACTGTTTTCAGTTTAGTTCGGCTTTAATGTTATTTAGTATTTATATTGGTTTTTCACACGACGGAAAATCGGTTCTCGGGGTCTTCCCTTAGCTCGCACCGTCCGTTTGCTTGAGAAGTTCGCCGCCAACTAAGTGGACAGCTGCGTGCTGGCAGTCCTTAAAAACAAGTGCCAAGAGCTGCTTCACAGCCTCTCTCGCAACGCCAGACTCAACTCAGCTCTCGAATCTCGTGTCTCAGCGCAAGCTTTCACTCCCAGTCCAGCAAGCGGCTGGGCGACTCGAGCGCAAAAATCGAGTGAGTTTTCCTCTCAGTTTATCTCGCCCCAACTCAAGTTTTGTTGTGAGTGAAAAGGCGGGCACTCGTCTAGGCATCTTTGTGAATATTGCAGTGAATTTACTGATTTGGTAATGATACATAAGCGATTGAGCCAAATGAGCTTAAGGACTTATGCTCATTATAAGGACGACAATTTCGCTGCTCCACAGAGGTTGATATCAAGTACCCAACAGAAGTTAAACCAAATTATTTTGGCACATCAAATAATGAGAAAAAAGTTAGTATCTGAGTTTGATTTAAAATAGACTGAAGAAAACTGTTTTAATGTGAGCTCAAATTTAATGAATGTCTTGTGAAACTGTTTATGTAAATATTTAAATATTTTACTATTCAATTTGTATTATGAAATATCAACTGCCTCATTTTTTTAATTTATATTGTGAAACTGTTTATGTAAATATTTAAATATTTTATTATTCAATTTGTATTATGACATATCAACTGCCTCATTTTTTTTATTTATTTTATAAGTTCAGTTTTTAATTTTTCCATTTCCAATTAGCTCAAGCTATACTGTTTTCTTATATATTGTTTTCCTTCAGAAGAGCTTGCGCTAAAATAATTTAAACTAGCTATTATAGAGCTATATTTTCTCCGCTTATTTTTGCATTTTTGTTTTGTGTCCTTGCAATTCCTTGCATTTTTGTATTAGCCCTTCACGCTCATTATGTTGCAACAGTGTTCACTTTTTTAAAGTAAATCTCGAGCTGTTTTCTTTTTTTGTTGCCTTTGAGGCACATTATCAATTTCGCTGGCTGAAAGTGTTGCCCTTCAGCAGAGATTGCATAAAAATTAAGTTATGCGCAGCAAGAGCGAGGGAGACAGCAACAGCAACAGCAACAGCAACTGCATTGTGCGCATTTTTATGCAGGGCTTTCCTTTAAGCCCTGCAGCATTTTGCGCTCACTCTCTATTTATAAATACATATATATGTGTATATGTATATGTATAATGCACACTTATTTTCATTCATATTGTATTTCTTTTGTGGCTGGCACAAGTATTGAGAGATAAAATAAAGCAGACGACCTCACATAGTTTCCTTTTATGTTAAACTTGCGACGCATAAAATGTCTCGTGCGACAAATTTGCAGCGTTGATAAATTTTCATTGCTGATGCAACAACGTTGCATGCGGCAGTCAGCAAAAATTGCGTTGCAATTACAGTTAAGCGCCAATGCTTAGCGACTTAATGAGCGCACTGCCCTGGCACAGTTTTGGTCAGCTGTCCGGCAGACAGCCTCCCCGACCCGAGACCACAGTCCCCAGACCCCTCCCCCCCAGCCACCAGCCCCTTCTCTTTTTTGAGCTGCCCCAATCTGAAACTCGTTTCACAGTTTGATTGATTTCGTTTCGTTGCACTGCACTTACTGCGATGGACGCGACTGTTGCCGGCGGCGCCTAAAAGTATGCAATGTCATTTGTAGATCGACTCACCGCGGAATTTGCACTCGTTCACCTGCTCGTCACTGTGGTCCGCGCAGTCCGCATCGCCATCGCAAACGAATCGAATGGGTATACAGGCGCCGTTGTTGCATTCAAATTGCTTCTCATCGCATTTGCTGTGTAGCGATTGGGCTGCAAAGACAAAGAGAGAAAGAGAGAGAGAGGGAGAGACCAAGTGGGAGTTAATGATAAGTAGTGCAAACAGCCGATTTAAGCTAATTATGTTTTCGTTCTTGATTGTACTTTGAGCTTAGCGTAAGCTGCTAAAAGTTTTCTCATTAAAACAAAAAAACATCACGTAAACAAGGGAAACGATAAAAAAATGAGTACGAAAAAATATTAAAAGAATAACCGATAAATATATACACTCAATCTTATCTAAATATGTAAATGATATAGCATAGCATAAAGTAAATAATAAAAATTGCTAATGCTTTTTAATGCATTTTATATTTTAACATTTTTTTTTTATATTTATGTAATTTAATTTATTTAAAATATTTTACTGCTTCAAGAGCTTCATTCTCAAGAATGCTACCATCAAAGCTATCCATACTGCATGACAAAATCAAATAATACCTTTACAAAGAGTATAGAACAAAGCGCAAATAAAACGGCCCTTTGGAGGTGGCTCAAAGAGCCCAAATCGATTAGGGCTTAAAACTTCAAAACAATCAACAGCAGACGCCGGCATATACATACATATATACGTACATGTACACATGAGTTTCTGCGTATATACATACACACTCACACATATGCATCTCACATTTCTGGAGTTTTAATCAACAAAAATGACAGCAACAAAATGCTACAAAACTTTGCAGCTTGACAATTTTTCATCTTGGGTTACAAGTTGCGGTCGAAGGGCGCCCTACACGCACACACACACACACACACACATACATTGCTATAAATATATAATAATAGGAATAGAAATAAAACAGCGGTTAGGAAAATGTCAACAGCTCTTGGATGCAAAATAGAAGTATGTGACAAGCGCACAAAAAGTAATGGATTACCAATGTGTTGTATAAACAAGGACTCACACACACGCACACACACACACACTTCAGAGGCTACCCATTTATGTTGATAAGGGTTTTTTGCTGTCCAAAGTCTGGCATTGACAGGAAATTCCTTTTTTTTGCCTGCCTGCTTGCCCAAACCAATCATAATTATTCGTTTAATCAAAACTTATGCATAAATAATTAAATAACCATTGTTTACGCCATTGCTTGCTATTGTTGTTTATTCTTCTCCACAACAACAGCGCCATCGACTGCATTTCACCAAATGCCATCAATCAGTAAGGTCAAATCAATTGCAGCGCTGAGACTGAAAATTGTTTTCAATTATGAATGAAGCAAAATAAACAAAGCACATGTCATAATTATATATGTATATATATTTCAATTGATTTATACAAATTTACAAATTTACGAACATCATGTATATGCGTGAGTAAAAACAAATATTGGTCTGCCCAATATTGAATTACAATGCCTTTTATGCCTGCATAGAATATGGTCTAAGTTTTTTTTTTTTTTTTTTTTTTTATATATACATATATTTGATA